AAATAATCGGAAAGTTAAAATAAAGATTGAATCCATTTTACTCAAAATGTATGTTTTTTGAAAAAAAATTGTTTTATTCTACTCAACCGATTTAACTTTTAGTGTTTTAGTACACTTCCAAATCTACACCACTCAACAAATGTCAAATTCTAAATTATTTCAGTTTTGTGATTGTTTTATTTTTCTTTCAATTCTTTCTCGAACACCTGTATATAGTATCAAAGTGTATCAAATTTCAATTATGTCATTCCATTGTTTATTAAGAAAAATTGCTACTTTAAACCATTATTGTTTTACAGCCCACTGTACCTAATAAAATATTTAATCAATAGTTTGGTGCTTATTTTTCAGTACCATTCAACATTTCAAAAAAAATCAAAGCCTACGTATGCGAAAAATATATTAAAAAAAATAGTTAGTAATTTAATGCAATGAAAAAACAAAGGTATGACTGAAATCGTTTAAAAATTGAACACTTTTGTCACTTCTTGTTAAATGGTAAAACCTAAAACAAAGTCTTATTTACTAATTAGCAAAATTATATTTATTTATTTCTAATATTATAAATTATAAATGTTTCTAGTCCAAATATGCCTTTGTATTTTGATTTTTGCCACTCTACTTCAAACTTGAAACAAAAATGTGGCTACGTAATTGACAGCTACATTATTATAAAGCGGCACACGACAATTTTTTTGCTGGAAATCATGGCCAACTTGACTACAAACATTTATAATGAGTAATGACCTTGTTTTAAAGATGCTAAAAGAATAAAATTTAATTCAAAGCTTGTGATTACAAAAATAATAAATTAATTTACCAAAGCCGTAACCAAAATCTAGAAGCTAAACAGGAATTTATTACGTTTTGCAAGACCAAAAAGGCTAACTTAGAAAAATAACACGTGATTTTATTCGGAAAGAAAGTGAGGTAAGTGTTGCCAACTTAACTAACAAAAATTTGAAAAACGTACTTTTAATAATAAAGTTAGTATTTGACAAAGTTGCACTAGACGCACCCTATATACATAAGTGTACATACAGCGTGCGCCAGAACTCGCTCCCCAGAAAAAAATGCCAGGAACATGGAAAAAATTTAAAAAAATTCTATCTATGAAAATTTCGAACTTATCAAACTTTAAATTCTGAACTTTGACTCTATTTATTTCTGTTGGAAAAATAATTTAAAGAGGAAACAAGAGAGCTGTATCCTAAATTATAACTCTCTTTAATGTTATTTGTGGCTTTTACTGGCAAAATTATTGTACTTTTATTAAATAATTATGCAAAAACATATACAAGATTATCAGTATCATTAAAAAATGTCAAATGTCAAAAAACATGTGTCAAAATTTTTTGACAAATAGAGTTTTTTTATACATTTTTTTTCATGTTTCTGATATCTTATCTTATTTGAAATTTTTCTCTGGGGCGCAAGTTTTGACTAACCCTGTATAAGTTAAAATAAAACAATTTACTTAAATTTTTAAATTGAAAAATTACAAAAATTAAACTTTCACGTCATAGTACCAAAAGAAAAATCCACTGTAACCACTCAAATTATTAACTCAGCTGACTCGCAGGATAAAAACGGTATTCAAATAAGATTTCAAAATTCCTAAAAATTTTGAATTTCATTAGTAGCGCATTTTTTGGTGCCAAAAAAGCTGTTAGTGTTAAAAAAATGTTATTCCAGATACTCCAACACAGCAAAATGGCAAAAGCTAGTAAACCCTCCCCGAAAAAGAAACAAGACTTTGAAAAATCGCCTAAACCGGAAGTGAAAGAACTCAAAATAAGTGACATGAGCTGGAAAGAGCGCTACGTATTTCTCACCGAAAACATCACAGTCGAACCCATGCTAGCTTGCTACATTATACCGAGTGTTTTCGCAAGCTTAGCAACTCAAAATTTAAATTTAGAGAAAGCTTGCCGTGTGAATTTAGGCTACTCGACCGAAGTTTGCGACGCTTTGAGTATTCGAGACACTGCAAATTACACCAAAGAAGAGCAAGCCGTTCAGCAGTTGGTTGCCTCGATGGGTGTGTGGAAAACCATGCTCCAAAGCGCCCTTCCTGCATTTTTGATAATGTTTGTGGGCTCGTGGAGTGACAGATGGGGGCAAAGAAAGCCTTGCATGCTTTTGCCCATCGTTGGGGAGCTTTGTACGGTGTTGGGCCTCATGGTATGCACCTTTTTCTTCTACGAGCTACCCATGGAAGCAGCTGGGTTCATCGAAGGTCTCTTTCCGGCACTCACAGGAGGCTGGTTTACAATGTTCATGGGTGTTTTTAGTTACATAGCTGATGTTACTACTCTGGAAATGCGTACTCTGAGAATTGGAATTGTGAATGTCTTTTGCTCGCTTGGAGTACCAATTGGGTTGGCTTTGAGTGGGGTGTTGTATAAGAAGATTGGATTTTACGGAGTTTTTTCGGTTTCGGCTGTGATGTATGTTATGGCATTGTACTACGGGATTACCAGGTTTAAGGAAGCGAAAAAAGTTGATGTACCAACGTTAGAAAATAAACCGTGTGCTTTTCTAAGAGATTTCTTTGATGTAAGGCATTTGTGGGAAACGTTCAGAGTCGCGTTTAAAGAAGGAGAAAATAATCGGAGAAAAAAGGTCATGCTGTTGATGTTGGTTGTCATGGTGGTCATTGGGCCTTTGCATGGTAAGTGTATAAATACTTCAATATCACAAGAAATTTCATTTTAAAATTTCGTAAATAAATTTTCATCAAAAATGTAATGAGGCTGTTTTCGACAAGGATTTTTACTGATGCGTAACCAGAAAAAAATAGAAGTGGTATATTAAAAAGAAGGACATTTTATCGATGAAAGACAATTGTTTATAGCATGACCACGCAGAGGAGGGCTTTTAAATACCTGGAAACAAATAAATAAATCTTGTTGTTTTAAAAAAATAAAAGTCAAATGCAATGTTTATTGCGCCAATCACTCGCAATTTGACAGTCGTGCCTATGGCTCTCACACCACCTCTTTCTAACACACGTGTGTGTTAGGAAAATAATGCGATTCGTTCGATATCGCCAACTCTCGTGGACACTTGGAAAACGTCATTTTCGTATATGGTCGTGGGAAAAACACTATTTTTGAACTTATGATTAGAAATTTTTTACAATTAAAAACTCCTAAAATAGAAAATTTCTTATAAACAACACCGAGTGTTTCAAAGTGATATCCTCTAGTCATTTGTGAAATTCATGATTGTCTCCTTACAGGGTGTATAGTTTTATGAGTTATTAAAAATGTTTATTATTTTTTATCACTAAGGCATGGATTATACGCACCAAAAATCCGTAAAATATGCGCGTATTTTCACAAAAATATGCACAAAATATTAAGAAATATGCTCCAATATATGCCAAATATGCATCGATTTGCAAAACTTTTAACAATAAAAAATTAAAGTTGGAATAAATTTTTATCCTCGAGTACACTAAAGTTTTTATTTTGATCATCTTGAATCGCACACGATGTACGAAAGAGAATAAATAAATTGGTTTTGCCTCAGACAAGCCATTTTAAGTAATTAAGCCTTTCTAAGAAATCTGTACTTTTCAGATTACATCACTTTAAACAATTTTGCTAAAATTCATTTGCAGGCAACTTACTTATCCACATAGAAGGATTTATTCGTTTTGTACCAGGTGAATAAAAAGTATGGAACCAAACATTTTTTGCTTAAACTATTTATTTTTTTTTAATTAATTGATGAATTAAATGTTTTATCAAGAATAAAATTTTTCGATTTTTTTTTGTTTTTGAGTTCTACAAAAATATTATTTTTTTTAAATGGCAACCCACTAAAAAATGTTTTGTATACTCCCCCAAAAGCAACTGTATTAGAGACTATCTACTTTTTATTAATAAAAAAATTACATACATTACAATTTTGACAAAAAAACGCATAGCTCAAAGCAAAACAAAATTTTGCTTTGAAAATACGAACAGATTTTTTATATTGCTTTATTTTATATTAATTATTATTTTCCAGAGGCAAATAATTAAAAAAAAAAGTTTGGTTCTAAACTACATATTCACCCTGTATAAAACGAATTTGAAAAGGAAACACTCAGCAAGATACTAATTCTTTGAGTCCGGATTACGAATTACGGGTTTTCTCTTTAACATATTTTGTAATCGGATCATTTTTCTTAAACTGGCCAATTTTTAACTTGAACTGAAATTTTTTATCAGAAATTTGCGATTTGAAGAAAATATGCACAAATATGCAGCATTATTTTCTAAAATATGCACGAAGTTGCCAAAATATGCATTTTTTAATTGGCTTATTTTAATCAAAAAACATTAGATTGAAAACTTACAATTTTGTTGATATACCTCTTAATAACAAATATGCATTTTGCAATTCAGAAATAAAAAACAAATTGTAAATGCCCCCTAGACCGAATTATCAAAAAAAAAAAAAACAGAATTAACTTCTCTTCTGTAAACTAATAAAACTTATGAATTTATTATCTAAACAAAAATACACTTTGCATAAATAGGGGTTTTACCGGTTTATTTAAATCTTGTTTTTGGATTCAAATTAAATATAGTAATAGAATTAGTTGTTAAAGCGAATAGGAAATTCCAAAGTTGGCTAGATAAAAATCATATTAACACAAACTGTATTTTTATTCAGTATCAATCCGTGTTTGTTGCTAAGGTTAAATCACCGCAATTTTCTACATTCGCTGAATAAAAGTGTGTTGTTTTGTGGGTTTTAATGTAAATAAGTACCCACTTTTTGTTTCGTTAACCTTCGCATTCAATTTTTTTTTTCTTTTCAAAGATTTAATTACTACTATAGTTGACACGTAACATTGACATCGATGTTCACTGAAATTTAAACCACCATATATTTAACGGTATGTTATTTTTGTAAGGAAAAATTAAAATACACCGTATAAAAATAGCATGACAAAAACAAAATAATTTTTAGTTAGCAAGATTAAATAACTGGCAATAATCTAATCAATAGATTAACAATAGAAACAATATAAATTGTAATTTATTTTTGTATAAAAAGTAGGTACAAGGTAAATCAGAAATAAACAGAGAAAGTTTTATTTGCATATGTAAGCATTTGATAATAATGTAGCTAGCTATAAATAAAATGTCAAATTTTTACCTTGAAAACTGCAAAGTTTTCCAAACACTTTTCGATAACAATTGCACCAATTGTTTATTATATTAATGTGGATAATAGTACATTTGAGAACTAAAAAAATATTTGATTCTTTGTTTCAAAGTAGAGGTTTTTTAGATGAAAATCAAACTAAAACTCTTCTTTATTTTAAAACAATAAACTTCTAAGGTCACTTGTTTGTACAACATTTTTTGCGTTAGGTACTATTTTTTTAACACAAGCTTTTTTATGATTTGTGTGTGAAAAATATTTTTTTTCTTATAGGCATTAATAACGTTATTTATTCCTTAGATACAATAAGTAGAAGTAGTAACAACTTTATTCTAGAAATGGTTACTATGGTACTATTATTTGATTTACGATTTCATCGTCTAATTTTATGAGAAATTTACATTACAATTAATGTCAAATTAAGAAGTCAGCAACTAAACATTTCTAATTTTTTATTTAAGAAAATAATGAATTTACCTAAAAAAGAAAACGATGTACATATTTTACATGTAAAGAAATTTGGCATTATCTGCACGTGATTTCTTTCTTAAACTCGTACTACGTACTCACAGATAACAACAACTTACGAAGCTAAACCTACCTTTATAGATAAAAAATCGCCAGAAAGAAAGGCTGGATCTGAAACAAGAAGCTTGATATGAGGCTCAAGGAAACTGTTTCTGCAATAATTATGACTGTCGTGCCAAACACAACCTTCACTTTTCAAAATAACATATATTTACTTAGAAAAAAAAAGAAGATAAATTATGAAAATTAATTTTTGCATTCTATTTTGTAAAAAAACTGAATCTTGTTGGTATTGACAAAAAATTTCCTGTTATAATATGCAGTTGCACAATTCTATAACGATTGCTTTTGACACGCTATTTCAGAGTAAGTTTTTTATGTTCCCTCGTTCCTTATTGCATTGTTAATTGCCGAAACCGTAAGTTCATTAGCATATTTAAAATTCTTAGTTGAACCGTAAATTAATGTAAAAGTATGCAAATTACTAGTGTGATTACGATTAACGATTAATTCTTGTCAGAATATGTCAGATCGTTATGTAACATATCATTAATCGAACACTCATTTGTAATTCTATTAGAGAAAATGAAAACTGCAATTATCGAATTTATGTAACATTTGCTGTGGGGTCATGGCTACAGAGTTGGATTCAAAAGCTTTGATTAGTGCATTAATTCAAATTGAAAATCGATTCAATTCAATTATTTTTTTAGATCTTTAATTTCTTTACCCTCTAAAACCCTCTAAAATAGTGAAAATTTTATATTTTCTTAATTTTGAGAGGAGTGTTGTGTTTTCATAAAAAAAATTTAATTATCCGAAAATCGATCATGCTTAAAAAAATGGACAAAATACAGGTGCACCAGAACTCGCGTCCCAGAGAAAAATGCCGTGTACTATGAGATCCCAAGAACATGGAAAAATGTTAAAAAAAATATCTATAAAAAATTCGAAGTGAGAGTTTAAATTATTTCTATTGGAAAAATAATTTTTCAAGTTTTTTGATACAGGCTATTAGAAGAGGAAACAAGGAAGATGTATCCAAATTGTAACTCTGTTTAATGTTATTTGTGGCTTTTATTGGCGAAATTTTTGTACCTTTAGAAAATAATTATAGAAAAACATATACAAGATCATCAGTATCATTAAATAGACATAAAAAAATGTGAAATGTCACAAAATAAATGTCCAAATTTTTTAAACATTTTTTTCATGTTCCTGGTATCATATCAATGAAATATTTCTCTGGGGCGCGAGTTCTAGGGCACCCTATATAGAGAAAAATGGTTAAACTTAGTGAGTTCTTTCACGTGTTAAAATTAACACACGTATTTCTGATACACCCTGTATAATCCTCTATCTTTTGGACTAGCAATTTTTTTTAATCAATTATAAATATTTATTTTTGCGCCGGCCCTAAAACTTGGAACTTCCTGTATAGCAATGTAATTCTTTCTAAATCGAAAATTTACTTTTATTTCAGAGATGATTCGCTTAATTTTTTTTCCATGAATGACAAAACAGACCCTTCAATGGGAAACATAAAAATATAATTTAAAAATATAATCATAACAACTCTGTATTGCAAAATGACTAATTCAATAAAGCATGAACAAGAAAATGAAAAAAAAAAAATACAATACAATCTCGTTACTGCGAATCAATAGAATGTTACTACGTATACTGTAGACTGCAAAGAATCAAAAAACTGTGTCAATACCAAATTAGTTTGAAATTGAACTATTCAACGCGTGTTCAAAATCGAGTCTGTTCAGTATCATTAGATATAAAAAAATGTCAAACGTGAAAAAATAAATGTCAACATTTTTTGACACAGAATTTTTTAAACATTTTTTCCATATTCTTGGTAACTTATCTTAGTTGAAATTTTTCTCTGGGGCGTGAGTTCTGACACACCCTGTATAGGGATTTTCATGTAACTCATTTCATAATTTCAGGTGTTGCACTAGTTGTGTACCTATGACTTTCATATGCGTTTTTTTGAGGATATCAACATTTAAAGGTCAATAATTGACTTGACCAATTTACTGGCACACCCTATATAAAAAAATGGTTTGACTTTAATTAATTTTTTAATTTCCAAATTATTTATTAGCACGTTCGTTGCCATGTTTCCTTAAACAATTAATGACCTWAGAAATACAATATCATTATCAATGAAGCTCGGATTATATGCACGTATTTTCACAAAAATATGCACGAAATATTAAGAAATATGCTCGAATATATGCCAAATATGCATCGATATACAAAACTTTTAACAATAAAAAATCAAAGTTGGAATAAATTTTTATCCTCGAGTACACTTATCCATATAGAAGGATTTATTCGTTTTATACCAGGTGAATAAAAAGTATGGAACCAAACATTTTTTGCTTAAACTATTTATTTTTTTGAAAACTAATTGATGAATCAATCAAGAATACAATTTCTCGATTTTTTTTTGTTTTTGAGTTCTAAAAAATTTTAATTTTTCAAAATGGCAACCCACTAAAAAAATGTTTTGTATCCTCTCCCAAAGACAACTGTGTTAGAGACTATCTACTTTTTATTAATTTAAAAAAAAATTACATAAATTACAATTTTGACAAAAAAAACGCATAACTGAAAGCAAAACAAAATTTCGACAGATTTTTTATATTACTTTATTTTATATCAATTATTATTTTCCAGAGGCAAATAATTAAAAAAAACCGTTTGGTTTGTTGGGTGAATATGTATTCACCCTGTATAAAACGAATTTAAAAAGAAAACACTCAGCAAGATACTGATTCTTTGAGTCCGGCTTACGAATTACTGATATTACTCTTTAACATATTTTGTAATTGGATCATTTTTCTTAAACTGGCCAATTTTTAACTTGAACTGAAATTTTTCATGGAAAATAGAAAATATACACAAATACGCATTATTTTCTAAAATATGCACGAAGGTGCCAAAACATGCTAAATATGCATTTTTAATTGGCTTATTAGAAAACTTACAATTTTGTTGATATACCTCTTAATAACAAACTTGCATTTTGCATATAATCCGAGCCTTAATTATCAATAATTGCAGTGCTAAAAATTCTATATTTCCAGGTGAGATGAACGTGACATATTTGTTTACAAGGTATCGCTTCAATTGGGACGAAGTGGACTTCAGCATTTTCTCAACCTACAGCATGGTCACAAACTTAATCGGTAAAARTCGTTTAAATAATATTAATTTAATTTAATTTTTCCTTTTTCAGGAACGTCAATTTCAGTGGGCGTTTTTAGCCACGTTTTAAAAATCGACGATGCCATCATTGGCATTTACTCTTCAATGAGTAAAATCTTATCAAGCTTCGTTTACGGTTTTGCAAAAACATCCTTGGTTTTCTATTTGGGTAAGTCTGTTAATCGCTGCAATGAATTAGATAATTGCTGAAAAGCCTTCAAACGTCAATTACTAGCAGCTAAATGATAGGTAGTATTAATGACTCTTGGCGCTTCCTGTTCATTTAAAATAGGCGACTAAAGGTCACATAATATCCAATTAGTATTCCGTTTGTTGCAGGCGCAATTGTGGAAATACTCAATGGAACTTCTTTTATTGCGATGAGGTCAATCGCGTCCAAATTAGTACCACCTGATGAACTTGGTAACAAAACAAATCACAAACCAAACTCCACAACAATTTGAATTGATTTCAGGAAAAGTCAATTCCTTGTTTGGAGCTTGCGAAGCTTTAATGCCCTTGGTTTACGGTCCCATGTACAGTGCTACATATGCCGCCACCATTAATATAATGCCGGGGGCATTTTTCATTCTTGGTGGCATACTAACAGTACCTGCAGTACTTATTTTTGGGTAAATAATTTCACAAATTTAACAATCATTTATYGTTTTTTTTAGTTGGATGTATGTTCAACACAAGAGAGACGCCAAACGGCTCAATTCTCTTGAATCCGGACCTGTGGAATCATCCATTCTTCAGGATGTTATTTCGTCAACAGCCCCCAAAGAGGCACAAATTGGAAGTCCGGTCCTGAATGGGATTAATAATAGGAAAGCTGGTGTCAATAATCCAGCTTTTGAGTTGGAAAAATAGAATACTAACATGTGATAATAAAGTATTAAAATACCGGGCGTTAAAAAAAATTACGATCAAGTGGCCTATGATTTTAAAATTGTGTTGGCAACATTGAGCAAGTTGCAACTTGGTTTTAAAATCAGAGGCTATTCTAGTAAAAAATGAAATAGTTAAGAAATTGTGTTGTACATATTATTACATTTCAGGGTTGACATTTTAAGCAATTAGGCTGTGCAGAACTGTGTTTTTTACATTAATTGAACAATAAATTAAAGCTAGTGATGAAAATTGACAATTTACCAGCAATGCAAACGTAATTAATGTGATTCATTTGGAAATGTTTTTGTAAATAGATTTCTGTTGCTGTTATAATTTTAATCAAAACTTACAAAAGTTTTATAGGTATTGCATTCCCCATGAAAAAGTGAAAATCGTGCTTTAATAGTTATTTATAATGATAAAGTCAAKTCTCAGATAATTTGTCAAAATATTCAGTTCATTCAATTGCTCAATTTTGAGAGCTAAAATGGATATCTCGGAGTTTGTTAATATCAAGAAACACTTAAAAAATTCAGTTTATTCTATTCCAGTTAGTTTTAAGAGCAATAATTGGGTATTTCATTTATTTTATTCACAAGAGAATAAAACGTCAGTTTATTCCCTATTGCGAGGAAAATGTTTATTTCTCTAGGTATATTCAGAAAAAAAAACTCTAATTCTACTGTGTTAGAGGCTTTTTCACTACTTCTTATGGAAAACAATACCTAATTCTTAGAATAAGAACAACTTAGGGTACGTTCAAATTGTAATATATTAAATAATAAAGAGGAATAAAGTATTAATCTTTTTTTTTTAATTAGAACCATATTTTCGTATTATAACCAAAAAACTGTTTTATTTTTTTAGTATAAAATAAAAAATAAAATAAGAAGAAAAGGTTTTACTGGCTTAAAGAGGTTTATTTTTTGACATTAGACATTTTTTTATATCTATTTAAGGATACTGATGATCTTGTATATGTTTTTTTACAATTATTTAGTAAAAGGACAAAAATTTTGCCAATAAAAGCCACAAATAACATTGTACACAGTTATAATTTAGGATACAGCTTCCTTGTTTCCTCTTTTATATGCCTATAGCAAAAAAATTTGGAAAATTATTTTTCCAACAGAAATAAATAGAGTCAAAGTGCAAACTTTAAACTCTCATAACTTTGAAATTATTATAGATCATTTTTTTAACATTTTTTCCATGTTCCTGGTATCTAGCCTTATATGGCATATTTCTCTGGGGCGCGAGTTCTGGCGCACCCTGTATTTTTTTGACTTTTGAAAAATCAAAATCCGTAATTGTCAAAATGGCGTATTTTGTAATTACTGGTAAAAACGACTGCCCAAATACCACCCACGCTCTCCACGTTGCTGATTATTTGAACAGAAAACTCCCCCATTTCGTGTACCATTCGGTGGTAAAAGCAGAAGATGAATGGATGGTCTCAAAATTTTAAACTAAACCCAAAAACCTAAACCTATATTTCTAGATCTACTTGGACCAATTAAACAGTGAAAATAACTGGCATCAAACAAAAAGTCCCGTTATTTGGAAAGAAATCAGCAGAATGGGAGGTAAAAAATATCTCCTTGGAGGACTTGGAGAATTTTGGGAATACTTATACGACTATTACGGGTTCCAATCACGAATGAGTAAAGAGGATTTAAAGAAAATCATGGCGGATAATTTACTTATTGTAACATCTGAGTCTTTAGTAATAATTATTTCACTTTCATAATTCAGGCATCCTCAAAACAAGAAAATCAAGTACATACTATTAGCATTATTGGTTGTAGCAATACTTTAGTTTTGCAACCTCACATCTACGAATTGCAACACTGTTTCGACTCAGGACAAGAAACTTTGCTTGAAATAAAACTATACGATCAGCGATTGGACGACCCAGATGAAGAAGATGTGATGTTGGATGTGATTGACGAAATCAAAGATACACTTAAATGTATTCCCCAAAACTTGCATATTGTTCTGAGCCAAGAAGAAGCCATCAGCAATTGCGATTTGCTCATCATTATAGAAGACTATAGCAGGTGAGACGACTCAAAATCCATTGAATTGAAAAATTACCCTGGTATGACATCAAAAAAAAAAAAAACTCGGGCGAGGCTTCAGCTTCACTGACCTCGTCCTTTTACTTTTTTACAGAGGAATAATGTTTAAATCCTATTCCTTCTGTATATTTTTCCATTTGTGATAATCAGGAAAAAATTTTAACAGTGAACATTTAAATTTTTTAATCTTGTAAATTTTTTATTTTTTATTTTAAAGTGTAACAATTTTCAATGGCTGATGATGGCGCAAGGGTGCCGAAACATGTCCCAACTTGACTAAATAAAATTTATCGACTTACTGTTTAAAATTACTGTTTTCTGTTCTGAATTTTAATTCGGTTTCTATTTTCTTCTAAAATTAAAAAACACACTTTGTTAAGTATGGGTGAACAAAAACTACTGGTTAGGTTGGCAATACTGAAACGTCTGCTATTATTGTTTATAAAGTCTGTTTTTTTTAAATGGAAATTACCAAGTCAAAATTTTGGTGAAAAAATTGGTAGCAGCTTGTCTCCATAGCCACAAATTTTGTTTGCTCTTTGTTTTTGTCCCTAGAAATTTTGTTAAGAAATTATGGTTATGTGTTCCATTTGAGATGTTGTCAAAATTTTGACTTTTATTAATCTTGTGTGAATGTTTGCTCTTTGAAAGCGCTGAGGAAAGACATCATTATCTAAGGTCTAAAGACAGAATTCAGTGCTAATAATTTTGCTAGAAATACACAGCAAGTAAGTACAATGTGGTGAACGAAAATGAGGTTCTTGCTACAAAAACTTTGAGGAAAAAGGATGTATATACAGAAAAAAGTTATTTAGCAAAAGATACAAGTGGGTATTATGATGATTGGTAATAAATTTTGTGTAATTTATTGAAATGAGCTCAAAGTAGATGCATTTTATAAACTCTTTTTCGCTTTAGTTTCAAAATTGTTACTTTTTCAACTCGTTCCTCAAAAACGATGCACAAGACACTAATTTAATTGCGTTCTTTCCGAGGTTCTTTCTCATACATATTTATTTTGTATTCTTGTCAATTTTTTGTTAAAAATTAAGAATGTTTAGCAAATCTGCATTACAAATTGCGTCTACATTTTAACGGGTCCTTTTTCTAAGTTCCTGCTTGCGAACTATTAGTTTCCGGATTTCTAAAAACTGTTAGCGGTACCGAATTTGTTCGTTTTTTTGGTGTTTCCTCTCTAAATTTTCTTAGACGATTTTTTGTGTTGACGTTTAATGACACTGTTTTCAAATTAATTCAAAAAACCGGAACTGCCAACTTCCTTTACTAAAATTACCATGGATGAATTTACTAGTGATGCCAATGTAAAGACTGTTTGGCATTTCCATTAAAAAAAAAAAAAACAGACAATACGTGTATGATTATTAATATTTTTCAATATTTTTTTATTGTATTTTGTATCTTTCAAATGACCAAATCAAAAAAAAAATCCTTAGAATTTGCTTAAGATGATGATCCAGTATTTTGTGATCAAAAATATTCTAATCATTTTTTTTTCTTCTCAGTGTTAAAACAGTGGCGTCGGTGAATGTTACTTATTCAAAAAATAAGCAGATTTGTGGCTAATTTGTGACGAAATGTTTCAAAATAGTTTTGCCGCTGTAAGAATAATAAAGTGTTAGATCTCAGCAATCGTTGCTTTTATTCCTGCTTTCGAATTTACGAAAGAAAACAGAGCAATTTGAAAAAGAGAAACGTACAATGCAAATTCTAATAAACGAATTCGACTTCTGAAGAAATTTTGAACTAGATTAACAAGATTAACATTAACGTATAAGTGGCAATTGGTTTAAAATCGATATTTTATTGTAGAACTTTAATTAATTTTGGTTTAATTATTTGTAGTTCTTTTGTTGGGAAACATTTTAAATTAATATTTTTATTTCTTACACTTGCGTCGCCCCTGATCGCATCTTTCAACATTCAAGATTGTCAAGCTTATACATATTGTTACTTGATTCCTTTTCATTGGTCACATTTACTAAAATTACCATGGATGAATTTACTGAACGTTAAGACTGTTTGGCATTTCCATTTAAAAAAAAAACTGACAATACTCGTATCATACTTTAGGAATAATTCTGTCAATGTTTGACTCACAGCGTAGATGAAATAGCCTACAACACTTATTTTGAAACCCATGACCACCCTTGACCAAGATAATTTTTGATGTCACGGTTCAGTGTTGCCAACTTTCACAATCTTATTATTGCCACCTTTAGGACAAAAACTTTCCAGACAATCCGGCGAAGATATAGACTTGTGGTTGGAACGCTGCCGGAAAAGCATGGTCCTCCTCGCCGACGATGTGAATCAAAACGCCAAACGCAGTTTGCGAATTGTCCTAAATCACCACGGTCCTGTTTGTTTCAACGCCTCAGTTCTTATGGAGTATTGCACTACGATAAGAGTTACAAACATCGTAGCCGTCACTACCGATGAAGCCATTTCTGTTATTAGTCAAATGGCAGAGAAAGTGAACGAATATGTGGAGAATTTTTGGTGTCCTCCAGTGTGGGGTTTTTGTGGAATCATGTCCTATATACCAATACACGCAACTTGTATCAAAACCAGTGTATATAGACCCTTTAAAAGGGCTCTCAAAACTAAAGAAACTTCCAAACTGCCTAAAGGCGTAATACAGCCCGAAATCCGATTTTTAGAAAATTTGATCAAAACGGACGATGATGATCTTTATGAAGAACTCGAAAGTCGAAAAGAAAAAGAAAAGCAGTTGCTTGGAAGAGAGCCTGTTTTACCGAAAGCTAGAGCTCTGGGGAGTTTGCTAAAACGGTGGTATGCCAAAAATATAAATGACGATATAATTTCGTTGGGGATCTATTCCAAGGGTGAGATATTACATTTGTGGGCAGTGGCGGATTTACCTATGGACCCAGTGGCTCTAAATAAGCATCGAGTTTTTCAAGACAACCTTTACGACTGTAATTTCTAAACATTTTCCAAAAATGTTAATTTTTATAAAAATTTTATTCCACCATGAACTTAAGTTTTCCTAGAAAATATACCAAATAGCTACTAATGGTACTAACGAAGACAGCAAAACGTTGTATTTTCAAAAAATTTATATTGTAACGTTTCTACGTATTTTTATGTTAACTAAAGTCTGTTTTTTTAATGGAAATGTCAAACAGTCTTAATGATGAAATTCATTCATGGTAATTTTAACAAAGAAAGTTGGCAACTCCGGTTTTTGATTTAATTTAAAAAAACTGTAATTAAACAGATTATCTGTGGCTAAACATTCTACCATTTTTAGTAAGAAATTGTTTAGAATACAACATAAACATCAAAGAGAAAAAATGCAACTAATTTAGTAGATCTGGTTGTACCATTTTTGAAAAACGAGATATTAAAATTTTTGTATCAAGAAGCTCATTTTTGTCCACAACATTGTACAGTTGGACACAAAATACTTTGGTCGTCACTTTTCTGACACTTTAATGTAATTCAAGCTTTAACGTTAAAATGAATGACAATTTCAAATTAATGATAGCTATTATATTTTCCTTGAACAAAAACACGATTAGCCCGTCACACCAAACTTTTATTTCAACCACAAAGTGGTCATCCTCAGGTGAAAATAAAAGTTTTATTTGACCACTTTGTGGTCGAAACGCGTTGTGCTATTAAAATAAAAGTTTGGTGTGACGGGCTAATCGTGTTTTTGTTCATCGTTTCCATACCAAGAAGATCCAAGAAGAAGAATTATATTTTCCTATTAAAAATATGTACATACAACTTGTCAATTATGATTGACAGTAGCTAAAAATAAGGTTAACAATCCTAAAGCATTCTTTACAATTTAATGTTACTCAAGTGACATTGACGACCAAAGTATTTTGTCTCCAACTGTACCGTGCGATCAAATAAAAAATAAATTAGAGTAGGCGTCGATTAAATTCTACAGTTGGCAACACATTGGCTGGGAATCTGGGTTGGAAAATTTCCACACAAACTGAAAGTGAAAATGACCATTCACCGTTTTCCTCTTGTACAGCAATAAAAATTTTCTGCTCTAAAGTGAACATTATTTCACTCAAAAGGAATAAAACTCAAACTTGTCAAAGTTTCCGCTGACATTTGATGTCAAAAATCAGGATTGCCATCTGAAGGACTTTAATCAATCGCACGGTACTTACTTAGTGTGGTTCTATCAATGTTATTAGCACTGAATTCTGTCTTTGGACATTAGGTAGTGATCTCTGTTATTCGATTATAAAGGCTTACAAAGAACACACAAAGTACATAAAGTCAAAATTTTCACATTACAACATGAAAACATAACCATATTTTTTTAACAAAATTTCTAGGGACAAAAACAAAAAACAAACAAAATTTGTGGCTATGGAGATAAGCTGCTACCAATTTTTTCACCAAAATTTTGACTTTGTAATTTCCATTAAAAAAAAACGGTTTTATTTACTAATTCCAACATATCAAGTAGATTACCTAAATAATAAGTTCATGGGTCTTTTAAACTATTAAACAAATTTAAAAAATTCTTTGGATAAAATTTGTTGTCTTGTTACAAAATCAAAAAAGTGAATATAATTATGTATAATCGCTATTTAGCCACTTATATGGATACTTTTTGCGCCCATGGATCCATAAAAGTTAAATCCGKCACTGTTTGTAAGAAACATTATCTAACATGGAYGATTTTAGGAACCTTTGGATTTCCTAAGGGTGTTTGCGTCTCTCAACCGGTTTTACTTAATGAAAACAGGATATGGGAATCTATACCTAACCTACCACTACGCGAAACAACCAAAGTAAAGATCCAAGCAATTTCACTCCATGTTGAAAACACTCTTAAGAAATATGGACTTGGTGAGAGATTTGCACACAATGTTGATTAAACTCTGATACACATTTCCCCTGAAGTAATAAATAAAACAGCACAAAAACTAAAAAATTATATTTTTATTATGGGTGGGTTAAAGTATCCGATTTTTTTTTAATATAACACTGCTTTCATGTTTTTTCAATTTTGCGTCTTCAACAACTTAAATAATAACACCCTAAATTTAAAAAAAAATTCTTCTATTGTGCGTGTAAGAGGGCTTATTTCGATTAATGAGCTATTTCAACACCAATTTGGGTGATGCAATAAACTAGTACAATTCAGTTTTTAAAGGTTGGTGACACTTTTCGCGGGTATCGGATATCAGTGTCATCGGGCTAAAATGACACTTTTGATATTGCTTCTCGTAGAGAAGGTGCGATTTCGTGGGTAGTAAATTTTCAGCTGTATTTTGAACAATTTCTCTTATTTCAAATGGTGTGCATGAAATATTTGTAGCATTCAGTGTTAATTCAATAAAATTTTGAAAAATATTCGAGACTTGACACTTCGAAAATCGACTCTTTCAAACATTTATTACCAACCACCACTTTATTAAAAAAAAGTTACTAAATTTTGAAAAATCGATTTTTATGCTAAAAAGGTAAAATCTGTTTTATTTTTTTAAATGGAAATTACCAAGTCAAAATTTTGATAGCAGTTTGTCTCCATAGCCACAAATTTTGTTTGCTCTTTGTTTTTGTGCCTAGAAATTTTGTTAAAAAAATATGGTTATGTTTTCAAATTGAGATGTTGTCAAAATCTTGGCTTTTATGAATCTTGTGTGCCTGTTTGCTCTTTGAAAGCGCTATAATTGAATACCCGAGGACAGACATCATTATCTAAGGTCTAAAGACAGAATTCAGTGCTAATAATTTTGATAGAAACACACCGCAAGTAAGTACAATGTTGTGGACAAAAATGAGGTTCTTGCTACAAAAACTTTAAAAGAAAAAGGATGTTTATACAGAAAAAAGTTATTTAGGAAAAGATACAAGTGGGTATTATGATGATTGGCAATAAATTTTGTGTAATTTATTGAAATGAGTTCAAAGTTGATGCATTTTATAAATTCTTCTTCAGTTTTAGTTTCAAAATTGTTACTTTTTCAACTCGTTCCTCAAAAACGATGCACAAGACACTGATTTAATTGCGTTTTGTCCGAGGTTCTTTCTCATTCATGTTTATTTTGTATTCTTGTCAATTTTTGCTAAAAATTGAGAATGTTTAGCAAACCTGCATTACAAATTGCGTCTACATTTTAACGGGCCTTTTTTCTAACTTCCTGCTTGCGAACTATTCGTTTCCAAATTTCAAAAAACTGTTAGTGGTATCGAATTTGTTCCTTTTTTGGTGTTTCGTCTCTAAATTTTCTTAGACGATTTTTTGTGTTGACGTTTAATGACACTGTTTTTAAATTAATTAAAAAAACTGGAACTGCCAACTTCCTTTATTAAAATTACCATGAATGAATTTACTAGTGATGCCAACGTTAAGACTGTTTGGCATTTTCATTAAAAAAAAAACTGACTTTACGTAAAACGCGCAAAATACACAACAAAAAACTTGTTTCATGTCATTTGTGGGAACTCATGCTTGGGAACTCTTATATCAATTTAAAAATAAATTAGGAAAAATTAAAAATTGAATCAACTTTACTCGACCCACTCTGGGCAACAATTTGGTCATTTTTACATATTTTTTAATTCCAGTTCTCAAATTATTATTAAAATTTTGTGGGGTCCTTAAGCAAAATGCTTAATTTTCGGCTTCTTGCGTCTTGACCTCCACCTCTTTGTGGACCCGCCTCAGATGCAACTTTAAAAACTTAACGTCCAAAAAAGTTTTTATGCAATACTGACACTCATGTGGTCCCGAATGTGATAAATAATGCACGTTTAAATTATCCGGTTTTGTGAATCTCTTGTCGCAATATCGACACTGATAAGGCCGAATTCCAGTATGTATCATCTCATGGAACACTTGTTCACCCCGCGAACAAAACGTTTTATCACAGTACTTGCACACATATGGTTTTTCTTTAGTATGTGTCCTCAAATGCCTCGTCAAAGTGGTCCCCATTCGAAATTTCAAGCCGCAAAAGTTGCAAACATATTTCTTCTCTCCCAAGTGGATCCTCATGTGGTATTTTAGGGACGTGGAGTAATTGAAGGTTTTACCACAAACGCTACACAAGTACGGTCTTTGGTTCTTGTGGGCCGCTACGTGAATATTATAGTGGGACTTGCCATCGAAGCATTTTCCACAATATTCACATTTGAACAAAACGCCACTGTGTTTGTACATGTGGTGTCTAAAGGCGGATTTTGTCCGGGAAATGTGACCACATTCATGGCAAACGAAGCAAGAAGGTGTTGAATGTTGGGCTGAGACATGAAAATCCAATTCTTTCCGAGATGGYAGTATRTTTTGACACAATTGACATTCATATAGTGTTTCCACTACCGTTTCACTACAGTCRACATTATTTATTTCTTCTACGATGACTTTGCTCTCTTCTGGCAATTTTCTTACTTTTAAACGACTTATATCTAATTTGCTTTTGTGTTGAAGGTTTTGTCTTTCTTCAAATATTTTTCTTCTGGTTGGTAAAACAACTAGATCGGCTTGTGTCTGTTCAAGAACATGAGAGTTGGTGGGGATTTTGTTAGCAAACGTGGCTGATATTTCCGAACCCAGGTTATTCAAAAATCCTTGGAACGAAGACTGGTCCTCTTTATTTTCCTCAACTATTACAACATCATTTAAATCAAACTTATTTTCACCACAGATTAGTTCAACAGTGGGTGGTAGAGGAGCTTCTTCTTGAACCTCTTGAACTACCATCACATTTTCCGTTTTATCTACCACAGGTACAATCTTTAATGTTTTTTCTAATATATCTTGTGACTTTTTGAACTGCGCTTGAAATTCGAAAGCTATTTTCAAGTAACTCAAACAAACTGGGCAAATTTTAGACGGAAGTAGTTTTTTATCCACAAATACCTGAAGTAAATTATAAAGAAATCTGAAATTGAGCTTGGCATACTTACTTTTTTTAAAGTTACAATTTCAATAAGTTGGATGATGGGTTCTGTGAAATCTTTGGTTTCTGTGACTGGAGAGTTCAGAGGTATTAATTTATTTGAAGAAGTGAGGCAAACACGGCATAAAATGCCCACATTTCTGGGAGTAACAACACATTCCATTGACGCCAGTTATGACATAACCAAACTATTTATAATATCACAATATTTACAACACTGATTTTTTCAAATGTTATAAATTATAATATGTTCGCAATTACAAAAATAACAAATCCTTTAAATTTTGTTGTCAGTTATAACCTCAAACTTTTCTATGCTTACAAACAACCATGACATTTTAATATATGCAACCCATTATGCAAATTTAAATTAAATTTTATTAAATTTGAAATAAAAATAAATCGCTTAAAACATTATACTATTTTAATTGCACATTGTAATAATTTACAACACTAGTATTGGCTACTCACGGACAATGGTGCACTGTTGGTTGCAGATACTAAAATAATATTTGATAATTACAACTTTTATTCCGGTTGATTTTTGTAGGATATTAGAAACTTTTCAACTTCTAGTGTAGGCATTAGAAATTAGGTGTAAATTGCTTCAATATTTATTACTATAAAGGGTGTTTTATAACTCGCGCCCTAGAAAAAAATAACAAGTACGAGCAACATTCTATTGAAAAAAATATTTTTTTGACATTTGACGTTTTTTGTTTATTTAATGTTACCGATTGTTTATGTTTTTTCATAATTATTCAGTAAAAGTACAAAAACTCTGCCAATAAAAGCCACACATTTTGTTAAACAAATAATTCATAATACAGTTTCTAATAGCCTGTAGCATGTAAAATAAAGTGGGTTAAAGTGTAAAATTTAATCTCCCATAATTTCTAAATTTTTATAAATAACTTTTATAAGATTTTTACCATGTTTCTAGTCTCTTACTTGGCGTTTTTTTCTGAAGCGTGAGTTCTAAAATACTCTATATTTTTTCACTAGTTATACAGAGTGGTTATAAATGATTTTCATCTAGCCAGCTTTGGAATTTTTTTGCATGTAATTTTATTTGTGCCGCTCTAATTTTTTGAAAGCTCTAGTTCTGTCATTAGTGTCACTTATTAATTAATAATAAATTGTTGTTAATTAAACTTTTATTGTTTCAACTAATTTCCAATAATAATTGATAATAATGTATATTTTGGAAGAAAACAAATTTATTATTGAAGTTTATTTTCGTAGTGGACGCTTAGTAAACGGTGATTTTTTAATTTTAAGTTAAAACAAGTAGGAACCACTATTTTTGTAAAACGGCATTTTTTATTTTACATGAAAAATTCACAGCTGGCTAGATGAAAATCATTTATAATCACTCTGTACCATCCGTTTTTAATTACATTTTTGATCAAAGTGGGCTGTGACTATAAAATTAAGTTGGCAATATTAAAAATTTGAATATTTTTTGTCTTTAGGCGAACCTAATTTCACAATCACACTAAACTTAGTTGAAACAATCTTTAAAGTTAAATGTAGATAAATATCTTTAATTATTGTAGATGTTTCAAATATAATATTTTTAGTAAAATAACAAGGCATTTAAACATAAAAACAGAATGTTGAAGATAAATTATTATTGTTATTCAACTTATTGCAATAAACATCTAAATTTTTATTGGCTGCAATGTTCTTGTAGCTTCAAAAAAAAATTCGTTTCTTCTTTCAACAGTAAAAAAAAATAATGTGTTTTGTCAAAGAACGAAAGAAGATTCTTGTTTGCTTTAACAATATTTAAAAAAAAATAGAACTAGCAAAAGTATATTTAAGTAAAGAAAAAAGATAAAAAGTGAAATAAACAAATAAATATTTTCAGTAATTTTTTTATTGACGTTGCCTCTAATTTATGTTTAGTTTTTAACATTTACCTTATTCACAAAGTAACATAGAACACCCACTATTATTCTCCTGGCAATAATTTTATGCCATTTATCTATTCACTGATCTAATTAATTAAAATCAAACTAAATCAATTAACAGAATATGGTATTTTTTACAACACAAAAATTCCGGTTTTTTTTTTACGTTCTAACCCGGCGCATCCACCATTTATTTCAATATCCTAGATCTAATATCAGTTTACTAACTAATCTGAATTACAACTAATGTTTTCTTAGATCAAAGGGTCGTCGAAAATGATGACTATTAAAATTAAACAGCAATAAGTTTGCGTAATGTTTTATTGTTGCAAATTAAAGACATATTTTAATAGTGTTTTTGCTGCATTTCTATTTTACATTTTTTTCTTTCTTTTGTAAGTTCTGTTTTGCTTGAAGTGTGCCAATATTTATTTTTCTATGAGGTCAGCAAACAAAGAATAGAATAAGACATCTTTACTACCTGAAATATACCCAATTATGTGGTAGCAAATTTCATTCACTCATTAACATACATTCACAAACAGCGCAAAAGAGAGAACACCAAAAGATCCAACTGTTAAATGAAATTCTCTTTGTGATCTCACCAACATAAAAAGTAAATCTTTTCTTAGTTTTACATCTGCTTTGTACCATATCGACGACCATATTGCATTAGAAACGGTGTAATTCTATCAAAAACAACTAAATAAAAATATTATAATGCACAGTGCCGGACAATAAATTTCGTCCAGCACAAATGTTCAAATTTATTTTAATTTATTGTCATTTTTTTCTCTAGCTGTCAGGATTAAAATTACAAAAACCGAAAGTGAGGTTAGTTGCACATAAGGCCCGTTTTACATTTTTATATCAATCGTATGACAAAATCCGTGTCTGAAATTGTACCATTAAATATCCGATGAAAATGGCTCAACTTTAAAATTAAAGTGACAACACTGTATAACTGTAACACTGACATTCGAATTTGATGGTCATTGGTACCAATCCAATTTCAAAGTCACAAACAGTTTTGATGAGAAATTTAATTGAATAATAAAAAGAAATTACTGCATCTAGAAGCAATTGACCCCCTAAACATGCAACGAATAAAGCCACTATCCAGCCTGAAAAATGAATGGCAGCACAAAGTCTATTAACTCCCTAAAATTAGTCGTGTTTTATTATGTACATAATTCAGTAGTTTAGATTTTACAACAACAAATTGTTTTGCAATGCATCCGCAAATTGTCGATGTTATAGCAAGATGTCCAAACATTGCAGTAGAAAAGCAGTCGTTTAAACGATCAACAAACCTAAAATTTTATAATTATTAATAAATTCTGTGTTTTATTACATTACCCTAATATCTGGTTGTGGTATTCAATGCATCGCACCATTCTCCATCGGTTGTTAACATTATTATCACTATCAAAAGATTGCAATATCATGCTATTTAGATGATCGACTCTCATTATTAAATGTTGGCCTACTTCGAGAGCATTGAAGGAAATCATCAAAACCGGTGTCATAATCACTTGTGAGGAAATAAAGATAAACAAGAAAACTAATTGATAAACGGGAAAGTAATTAATATCGAATGGAATCCAAGTCGGTGATAACAATCCACAATTTTCATGTAAACCTTTAGATTCATTTTCTTTTTCACATTCAGCTTTTAGTGAATATTTGAAGCAAATATATGCTGTTATTCCCACTCTAATGTAGTAATCCAAGAACTTTGACCAAAAATCCAACTTTTGCATTTTTTCCTTAAAATTTGGTGGTGCGCCAAAATTATCAAAATTCGATAGATCTTTTAACAGTTGGGCAACTTTGGGTTGATTTTTTACATAGATAAATGTTATATAATAAATACCAAATATTGCAACAAGAATAGCAACTTCTTCGGTTACATCGAAATCGTAATCGGGATCTAGAAATGATATTTTATCATTTTGCGACAAGGACCATCTTGTTTTAATAAACCTTTTATTGTCAAGATACAATGAATAAGTGTGGAACCACTCCAGAGGACAGTTAGTAACACAAATGCTATTATTCGAATATAATACCACTTTCCAGGGTGCAATTCATCTTCATCATTGGGCCAAATTAAAGTACGCTGCAAGATATTTCTCGTCATGCGACATATTATAATTTCACTTTTCTTTGAAGACATTCTCTACAAAACCAGGCAATAACTATATAAATTACAAATAATTAGGAAACATGTCATATCTCTCAAATTTGAACTTTCCTCTTTAAAGTCATGGAAATTTTATTTCTTTGCGAAATAAATTTTTAAAAAGAATGTGTTTTCGTCAAAAATATCGTATTAATCAAAAATATCATCAAAATTATTCTCAAAAACTTCTTAATATGATATGACAAGTCGCTGAGGCACTCTAAAAAAGTATATCATAAAAATGTTGAAACAGGGCTAAAGCACAATTTCAGTATTTTTGTAAGTATTTGAAACTCTAAAAATCATATTTCTTTTTTTTAATTCATTCGAGCAAGTACTCGGAAGTAGAATACACATTTTTCTCTAGTTTTGTCAAAAATTGTTGCGCAATAGTAGTAATAGGACTATTATATATTACCCAAAGGTTGGTAAATAAGCTTTAAAAAAATTGATGAATGATGAATTTCTGCAATTATTATATTTTTGAATGGCAACCTATCTAGTCTTTGTGAAAAAAAATCATAAAAAAAATTATATATTTCCAAAAACTTTTGTATTGAGACAAAACTCGTTTAATAGATAAAATCTAAAGAGAGCAAGATTATCAAAAAATGAGTTGTTTTAATATCCATAATATTTAACGCAATTTTTTATTTATTTTCATGTTTTATTCTACTAAGAACTTACAATGATACAAACAGGTGTATAGTTAAACACAGTCACTATTGATATTAATGAAGTAGCAAGTCTTATATATTTACTCAAAACATATTGACATTTGTTTATTTTATTTATTCGCTAGCAATTATGTCCCATGAGAAGATTGATATGTCTTTTTGCTTATTATACAGTGTCAATAATATTCCACATTTCAAGTGACAGTTTTGCAATAATCAATATTAAATATATCAGCCTAATAAAAATTTAACATAAAAAATATCACGGAAATTTTTACTTTCACAAACATTTAAAATGTTGTATTTTTATTGTTTCTTGCTGTCGTTAGTCTAGTGATAAGCAAAAATGTTCTTCGTCAAGTCTGTGCTTCCTCTTTGGAAATAATTTTTAAAATTAATAAATTTATTACTGTTTTAACTTTGTATTGACGTTGTCGTTGATCACTGACCATTCCTCTACTCAGTGGTTCAATGAATTGATATGTATTAGTATTTTTCTCGGCCACTAACATCCTTTTTCCTAAATCGGACAAAAAGTTTACGAAATAGTCCGTAAAGAAGTACTTTTCAGAACTCATATGTCATAAATTTTTACTTAAATAAAACAATTAAAGTTAATACATTTCAGGACTAAATTTGTTTTTATTACACTCATATGATTATGGTAACTACATTTTATAACAGTATGTAGTAAAAAAATCCACTTTAATAAAATTCCATGTTTTAACCCGGCGCATCCACCATTTTATTTGAACATTTACTGTGAAACAACAAAACG